TGGGACAATTTTACTATGTTTGGGATTTGGGATTTGGGTGGGATTTTGAGAGTTTATAGTTTGGGCAGCATGTATACATGTGGATGACACGTATCATTATTAGTAATCACAATAATTCAATAGTAATTCGGGGTTCTTAATTTAGGCCCAATTCCAAAAAGTCGCAGCAATGCGTCCCTTTTTCGCCATGGCTAGGATGCTACAATCTTTTTAAGACCCGTCTGTATGGCGAGGCGATTTACGGTAGAATAATAAAATAAATAGAATTTTAACTGAAATTTTATAATTAGTTGGTAATGTGGTTGGTAAGTTTCATAGTTTGAACAAAGCCCACAACAATCTAAAGTAAAAAAATTATCTACACTTTGCACAAAGGTTCGAGGCACGAAGATAGACATGTCACAAGGCTATTGGACATGTCCTAGTCATGTGACATATTTGTCCTGATTGATTGGCCAGCGGCGGTAATCAAAGGTACAGATATTCAGACAGCATAAAAAAAAGACGAGCAAGAGTTGCAGAAAGCAATTTTTGGCTGAAGTGCAATTTTCTGATCAAAGAGGACACGTCTCAGTTCAGGGCATGCCCTTGAAGGCATGCCTAATTTTTTACCCGTGCTTCCAACCCTACTTTGCACGAATGGAAAGGTTTTCAAAATAACAGTAAAAGAACTCAGCTAGGAGGCCTCTATTTTGTAACTGTAAAAAAACAAATCATCAGTTAGCGTTAAAATATCGATATGGTATCGTTGTTCCTGAACCATTCACGTGATTACGTAAACCAACGCGTTTAAACGGTTATTTTTAGGATCATAAGAGTCAAGCAGTCACCATATCAATTCATCATTTTAGACTTTTAAATTGTTTCTTGAATTGCTGGAAATAAATAAGACGCGTTGTATTTGCAATAATTTAAAAGTTGCATCGCGACATTACTTGAATTGACGCTAATTAAAATTTTACGAGGTCTATTTAATATCCGGCGTTTAAACATAGCTCCGTTTAAATCAATTTGATATGTATCAAATTGGATGATAGATCGCGTATATATTGATATTATGGTGAAAAAAACTTCAGCTACTTGGTCACAAAATTCAAAACAAGCAATTTTGAATTTTGGACGTCCAATTGCATATTGTGAAACGTAATGATTTTTTATATAAACCACGCACTAAAAATAAACAACCCCAATCGATATAACATTCACTTCCTTTTCAAATAAGATTCTAACACCGAGATCTGTTAGCAAATATTTACTCTCAAGTGAGTTAACAATACGTTATTTTTGGTTTTTTAAAACCAACCGATGGTAACCTCTAACGTTTATCGAATTCTATACGCTTTTATTCTGAAGCTCCCATACATCTTTGGGTCTTATATGTATTAGATCGTTGGCATTATATTTTTGTCTTTTGACAGGAATGCCTCTTTATCAAAGGAAACAAATTCCTCTCATTCCTGCTCCAAAGTTAGATGTTTCCGAGCATGGTGATCGTAACGTTTGGATAATTCCGTACACCTCTGAAATCTTTATTAAATATGAGTATCCTTTTACGTATATAAATTAATTGATCGACTCAAATATCCTAAAAAAAAGTTATAGTTAAAAGAATTCATCAAGGATTGTGGTCTTTCGTGTAAATCATTGGCTTATGCTTCTGTTACCAAATAAGCAGAGCCATATATTTAGTGCTATTCAATATCTTCCTTGACCTAAATTGTACCGATTCCTTTTTTCGATACAACTGTTTTTTTTAGAGATTATTTGGCACGTACTGCACTCTATAACCGACCTATTTGGCAATGTGAGATAACGGGTAAACAAGCACTTACTTATAAAGAAGCACTTGATAGCGAGAACACGCATAGAGAAGCGTTACATGAAAAGTTCCCGGAGGGTTTGAAACGTCAAATATTGGAGTTTGTTCAATTTCGTGGGTAAAACAGTCAATAGTCTCTGTAGAAAAAAACACGTTATCAATTTATTTAATTATTTATTCATTTATTATTATTATTATATATTTTGATTTAAAAATACGCATATAACATATAGAAACGGAAAGGCTAGATGTCCTTGTGAACAGAATATTTGAAAAGTATAGAGACCAATATGCACTCGGTGAAATTGTATACGTAGTATCAGATGGGAAAAAGTAAAATTCATGCATCACATTTATTTGAATTATTTCACTTTATTTAAACACCCGTTAAATTGTTATTTTTCCACGATAGAATCAAGGCAAAGATAGCAGACGTCAAATTTGATGACATGAACGAAGAAGTGAGCTCTTCCGGGGCAAAGGCAAGTAGCTCTAAGTCTCGCAAAGCCGTGTCTTCGCAAATTACCTATCGTGTACAAATGTTAGACGAAGGCGGAAACGCATTGAGGCAAAAAAGTAGTAAGAAATACATAACCAAGACCTTGATTGGAGGCGAAGCCATGAGGTTTGTCTTAATTTAGTGAAAGTATTATCAGTAACATTACATTATATTATTCTTGTAATTGACTGTCAATAATAAAATTTAGCCGCGTAGATAAATTATCATTTACCAAGACTCTTATTCGTCAGTTCATTAAAGAGTCTGCAACTAAGAGTACATATGTCCGCGCGCCGTGGTTAATAAAGGTATATGACTATGTTTCATTTCTTATTTCAATTCGATTAAAAACATTACATGTTATTAAGTGGTTGAAAATGCATTACTAGAAAAGCATAGCAAAAAAATATGGAATGTCGACTAAGTTACCGGAAGACTTACAGAAAGCCAAAGATAAAGCTATCGAAAAAAGCAAAAAACGAAAGGTATGACACCTTGAAGTATTTGCCATACATAAATTTAGGATATTTCAAAGTATTTACGTCTTGTATATCACAAAGATTGCACCACGTGACGTACCAGCGAAGAAATCAAAGACCAATAAAGGAACTAGTAGTAATGTACGAGATTCAAAGAAACAAGAATCTGCATCCGCGGGTAAGAAGGTCACGTCTAAGAAACAAGGCAATCAGAAGCCGTCCGCTAAGAAGCAAGCATCAAAAAAGCAAACTGGCAAATCTGCAACGGAAAAAGCAAAACAAGAAAAGAAAAAGCAACAGGAACTTGAAAAGAAACGCAAAGAAGCAGAGCGACAAGCGGAAAAGGACAAGAGATTGAAGGAAAAGGAAGAACAAAAGCGTTTAAAGGCTGAGGCAAAGAAAAGTAAGTTTGAGTTCATTTTAAAAAGGTTCATATTAATCTCGTAACGTAGCTTATTAAATATATAAAATCAATAGTTAAATACCCCATAGAGGATCTGGAAGTACCACTTGACAAAAATTTACTTCAAAAGAGACCTTTATTAAGTCACGAGTTTAAAGTTCCACAAAATTCTGTAGGAACTTTATTGATGATTTGGAATTTTTTATCAATATTCGGGTAAATTGTCATTACAATTTCCTTTAAACGCGTTTAAACTTTAGTAAATATTAATTAATATTTATCTATTCAGGAAGCCGCTTGGCTTGTCGTTTTGTACACTCGACGATTTTGAAACATCACTGAGTCATAATATGTCAAATCCTCGGTGTTATTTAGTAGTTGAAACGCACGTAGCGTTGTTAAACGCAATCATAAAAGATCAATTACTCTTCAAAGGCAAAAAACGTCAAATAACACCTCGTAATGCCGCTGTTAGAGATAATATGAAGAATGAGTCCGATAGTGATCCAGCACAAACAGACCAAGCTAATGATGAAAGCACAACAGGTTCAACATGGGAAATCTTAAATGAATTAGGGAAAAGATGGGATAAAAGAATCATATCTCCTGGTGATGGGCGGAGAGGTTGGGAGAGTGTTCTTATTGGATGCATTCAACAGGTGTGAACTAATTCTTTCTTTGTATAATTCAGTTTATTTATTCCATATATGTATATAATTTATATTTAATGTTGTTTACAGTTGGGCACGTATGAATCCATCCCAAATTTGGATAATATACTTTCACATTTGGTACCTAATGATCAAGCTGATTCAGATGAAGACTTTGAAGAAAGTTACGCGACCCTTGAAGTACTGGATAAATTGCAAATATTGAACTTTTTAGTTAACATTACGACAAAGACTACCGTCATTCATGATTACATCGATCGATGTACAGAAAAATTAGTAGAGCTGAACAAAGAAAAAAATGACCTTATCAAAGAGAAACGACAAGTGTAGGTTTTATAAAATCAGATACTAACTTAGATATAATAACCAAAATTTCAAAGATATTTGTTTACATAATATGCTTTTCGGATTTTAGCTCATGTTCGTTTGCAGAAATTTCTAAAGGCAATCTTCCGACAGCAATTTCCAAAGCAAACAATCTGCATAATACTGGAAGCGCAACAGACAGTCCTGTAGGCGATGACTTGGATACATTACAAGCTAGAAAACGTAAATTAGAAGAAGAGGAAATTGCAATACAGAAAAGGGTAAAGCTTAAAAAAGAAAAAAGTTATCACGTTTATTTATATCGAAAAAAAATTAATACTTGGTGATACATAAATTTCAGGAGGAACAAATTGAAAAGGACAAGCGAAAATATGCGTTGCCACGAATCTTACCCTTGGGGCGTGATCGTTTCTATAATAAATATTATTATACTGACTGCATAGGTGCCGCAGTCGGTGAAAAATATGGAACGGGGAGGATTTTTGTAGAGACACCAAGTACTTATGATTTGCAAATAATGACAGAGAAAGAAGAACAACGGTTCAACAAAAGACGGAAAGTTGAGGAAATCTCTTTTGGCTCAGGCTCTGACAATCAAACGAAATGGGGTTATTATGAAGATATAAACCAGGTTTGTTTTAAATTGTGTTGGTAATCAATAAAATTTTATTATTAATTTTGTAAACTAATTATTAGGTCGAAGAGTTAAGACAGTGGCTTAATACCAAAGGAATACGGGAATTAGCGTTGAGTAACGAGTTGACGGCACGTTATCAAGATATCTCATCAAGCATGAATAAGCGACAACAAGTTTGTATTTTCCTTTATTATGTACCATTATTGCATCAAATTTTAACTATAGCTTTACTGATTAAAACCAGGACATGGCTATATCGTATTCGGCTCAAGAAGTTCGACGAAGTAGACGTACTCAAGCAACACTTGCAACGCTATCAGCACAGCCATACATGAAATGGACAAATAAGTTTGTTAAATAAGTTTTAAGCCAACAGACAATTTTTCGATTATAAGCCTTTTATATGATTAAAGTGGACTTTGAAAAAAATAATTAATAATAATAATAGATGTTCTTGTACAAGCTAGAATATATAGAATTGCAGGTTGTAGTGTATTAAAGCAATTTGTTTATAATGCATTCGAGTAAAATTGGATTTGAAATTCGGTTTTATTTTATTATAATAACTAGTCAAGAATGATGTTTATTCTTTTACTATATACTTGTCAATCGCAAAATACCAATTACGGATGTAGTTTAGATATGCAAAGACCCATGCCAACCTGTTATGATTAAGCCGTCCAGCAACGCTTTATGATCGCCAAATCTTTCTTATATTCACTTTTTTTATAAGCACATTATATAAAATATTTTTATAAGTATATTTAAGGCTAAATATACATTCTAAATATAAAAAAAAAATTTATTTATAAATTTTTTTTTTAGTATTAAATTTTGAATTACAGTAATTAACACTGGTTTAAATAAAGTTATATAAAAATTTTTGTTAAAATTTTAAAAATAGTTTTATAAATAAATTTTTAAGTTACATATAATTATTTGTTTAAAAAGAAAAATAATCAAAAAAAATTATTTTTTTAAAGTTAGATGCAGTTTTAGAAGAAAATAAAAGATATAAAGATTCAAATTTTAGTTAGAATTAGGTTTTTAAAAAATTTAAATATTTTTAAATAATATTTTTAACTAGTATATTTTTTGAAATATAGCATTTTAATAAATTTTTTATTTTTTTTTATTTTTTTATTTTTTTAATTTAGTGATCCTGATTATACATATTACCAAAATAAATTTTTAAAAAAACCTTATTTATCTTAATTAGAGCAAATTGAAATTTTTTATATACAAAAGCAAATCTAATTTAGGTAGTTATATTCCTTATAATTTTGCCTTTTTAAAAAGTGTCAAAAAATTTTGACTTTTAAATAAAATAGATCAAAAACAATTTCATCTTCAAATTTTAATTTCAGATTTTAGACCCCAAAATAATTTCATTAGTATATATAGTTTTAATTTTATTATTTTTATTAAAAGTACTAGAAAATTACTACTAACAGGCAAAGTATAACTTTTAATTTTTTTTTTAGTAAAAATTAGTAATTCTTTTTTGATATTGTTAAATTACAACAAGATCCTGAAGAACTTTGATATAATTTAAATATTATTAAAAAAGAAAATTTTGTATAGAAATTCATCAAATGTTGTATTTTTATATAGTAAATTTTTAAATTTTAGTCGATTTTATATGCCTATTTGGCTGATATTATACAAACTTATATTTGAGTTGTATCAGAGTTCTTTGAAGTCCTATAACAACAGTGGTATTTAATTTTATAGTTGCTATTTCTTAAAAACTATTAAATAATTAAAACTAAATATATTAAATAAAATGATTAGTATTTTAAAAAACTTTATCTTAACTTTATTTTTAGCTTTAATTTTTGTTTATAGTTTCTAAGTTATTGTAATTTTGATTTTAAATATTAATATCAAAATTATAATAAAAAGCTATATAGTATCAATATTACTAATATAATATATAATAATTTTTTAAAAAAATAATAATTTAAAATAATAATTTACTGTAAAATCAATATAAACACTTATACTGAGAATTAAAATCTGAAGCTCATTATTTTTATCTTATACAAATACATAAATATATATAATTTTTTTTTGAATATTAATGGTAATATGTATAATTTTTTTACACAATATACAAATATAAACATATAGTATTATAGACAGAAAATGCTGAAACTACTTTTTTTGATCTTTTTATTATAAATACATCAAAATTGTAATTTCAGTCATCATAGCATATATAGAAGTATGAGTCTTATACTTTGCTCTAAACAATAATTTTTATCAAATTTTAATTTTTTAATATTAAAATAAAGATTATTACTAATTTGCTCTCATAGTAATATTATCTAATTATATATAAAACTAATTAGATTGCCAAATTTTGTATTATCAAAACAAAGTAAAGAAATAAAAAAAACTATAGCTCAAAATTTTATTATAAAAACTATACTTCGACTTTCAAACAAAGTTTTCAATATAAATTTTATATATAAACAATATTTTTTATTCTAATCTAAAACTAATCCAAATTTCTAACCTTAAGATTATTTAATTTTTAATAAAAATTTTATAATAGTAAGTGATATTACTACAAATAAAATTTAGTTATAATCTAAAAAAAAAATATTTTTTTATTTTTATTTTTATTTTTTTAAACTAGCCTTTTTGAATCTCAGATTTTTATTCAAGTATGTTTATTTTATATTAGAGAATATATATTAGTTACAAAAATATACTTGTTTGAAGCTCTTTTAAAAAGAACACTATATGATTTTACAATCTAATAAAAGTAAAAAGTCAAAGAGTCTAAGGGGGCTAACAAGTATTAGCTCATTATACCTCCTCTGAAATTTTAATTTAATACCTCCAGGGTCAGATATTTGATATATACAAATAATATATATATATAATAAATTCGAATTTGTTACATATATTATTTATATATGTCAAATACCTGACTCTGGAGGTATTAAATTAAAATTTCAAAGGGGGTATAATGAGCTAATACTTGTCAGCCCCCTAATCTTGACTACAAAAAAAATGAATATATACTAGCTATATATATTTTTTTGATGTTTATTTTAAGTAATTTGTCTATATAGATTCTATACTAAATGCTATATCTGCAACCTAAACTACAGATATTGTTTCAAAAACTCTGTAATGCAACTCTACTTGTAATATCAGAACAACCTCTATTATATAAGTTTGTAAAAAAAGTTTTAAATTCTTTATATTTTCTTTAAGACTACTGGTATAATTAACTGATTTATTCTCAAAGTATTGTTTGCTTTTTTTTTTCTTAATGTTAAGATGAGATTATATTATTAGTTTTTATTAACATATACTTATTTTGACAAGTCTTTTACATATACATTAATACAAAATTACAAAAACTTAGACTAATTTATTTATGATCTAAATCTATTAAATTGGTTTATACTTCATATATCTTATTTAACTTTGTGCTTCTCAGCTAACTATTTCTAATAATATCACATTTCCACTATGTTTTACACAACTAGTCATAACTTTCAATTTGGTATATTAAATGTTTGCTTCTAATAAGCTTTTAATTTGATATATTGCAAACACAACTCACTACAAGTTCTCACTAAAATACTTTATTTATGCAACTGTAATTAATGCAGGTGGCCTTTTTACAGCCTTGTATTTTAAGCTAAAAACTTGCTGCCTAGTTAATTTACTATATAACAAAGTTGATATTATATTAACAAATTAGAACTTATTTTAGATTTGCATCAACTGAGTTATACTGATTTGCATTTCTTTATTTTTATGAATGTCTAATCTTCTTATTTATTTGCTTAAATACTACTAAGCCATATCTAAACTATGTCCTGCTATTACTAATAATTTGTCTATCTCAAAACTTAATATTCTTTTTTTAGTATAGTGATACTAACTAATCTATTTGTATTTTCTCATATAGTATATTACCAGAACCATATTGCATAGCTGCTTTAATAATCTATTTTGTTAAAAACTAACCTAACACTACGAAATTTCTTAAATAGCAAGCAGTTCTACTTTCAACTATAAACCTTGCATCATATTACTAGAAGATATATCCTATTTTACCTTGACTTCTAATTTGGCTCTTTTTTATTAGTTGATGTTATATTATTGTTAGTATATTCTAGCTTCTTTCATTAAAGACTTCTATAAAGATATAACTAAAGCTTCAATTTGGTGCTTTTAAATATACTAGATTAGTTAGTTTACCTTTATGAAATTATTTTTTTTAGCTAATTGTTTCACAATACTAGAGGTGCTTTTTGTTTGAATAAGTTCAATCTTTTACTATAGCTCTTTCACTTGTTTATTACTTGTTTATCATTTTAGTTTTGATAGTATTATATCACTTTTCTAAGCAAGTATCTAACACTATTATCAAATTAGAACTTATATATACAATCCATTAATCATCCTTTCAAGCAAATACTCTACAAGTTGAATATAAGGTATTAATGTTGACTAATATAGAAGTGAAGAGATATTAATGTTGCTTCTGAGTTATCTCAACCAAAGAACTAACTTATATGATCTTCTATAGCCTAAACCTTCTGTGATGCTGCTATTACATATGATGCCTGCACTTTATAATTAAGTTTCTTCCAAAAATTCTTATAGTTTATATTTCAGTATTATATTTGTACTTGGACTTTTCACAGAGCTTCACATTTAATTAAGATTCTATAAGATTATAGTAGCAAATTTAAAATTTTGTTACTAGTTTGACTTGAATTGTTAATTTTGTTTGTGGGGGTTTGGAAGCTTAACCAATAGCTATAGAGTTGTATTGTTTGTTAAAACTATCTATTACTTACTATTAGTATATGATTTAGTCTTTTTTGATAATTTATATTAAGTCTAAAAACAAATATTTGTGAGTTATTATTACTACTACTATTACTTACTTAGCTTTTATAGAGTTTATATAAATCTCAATACTTTTCTTTTAAAACAACTCATATCAGGAAATTTTAAATTAAATTATAATTAATTAAAAT